ATTTTACTTCCACGGAAACAAAATTTAATTTTCCAAAACGACGTACATTTATGAAAAATGTCAAATAATGTTACTTATCTTACCTATATGTTCACTATAAACATGTGTTTCTGTACAACAAGATAATAATGGTCAACAGAGTATTCTCTACAACATTGCTCCTATTGACACAAATAATTTTGATAAACAAACATGTTCTCTGCCTTGAGCACCCGTATACTGTATAAGCTTTACAAATAATAGCAAACCTTGTATGTCTTCATGAATATCCACGTGGACCATACATTTAATACACACGACACATGTTATTACTAGAATACCTCTGTAGTTACATTGTATTGTACACATGTTGTATGACATGGCTTACAGACGAGTAAGCTTAGCCAAGTAACAGATTGAGCACTATTGGTTGTAAATACAAACGACAGTTTAGGAAGCTACAGATTCTAAATTACATATTTAGGACATTCTCCATTGAAAAATAACATAACATAACATAAGATCACGCCTTTTATCCCCGAAGGGGAAAGCAGAGGTACACATTGCGGCAATTAATGCATTGTACAATGTAATACCCACTTTTCATGTTATGCGTCTCATGTACGTATAATAGGGGGTGAGCCTATTGTCATTTATACCAGACTCTGTGCTACTACTGACAATGTTTAAAAAACCCAGTAGTACTTTGCCCGACCTGGCAGTCTCATGTACGACCACTCGGCCAACGAGGCAGTCAGTTGAAAAGTCTTAAAGTTAAAAAGACTACTATACAAAGAATATGCCATAATGCGTTGGATTTTTTACAAAAATTTATTGTAAATTAAACAATTCAGGTCCACAAAATGACTATTATGTTTGACTTTTATAAAAACTATATAACAAAAATAAAAGATTCCAGTAGCAAACAAAACCTTTAATTTTATCGTAAAACAATTGATTAAAAACCAAACGTAGTACAATCCACACGAGACCCGAGTACTAAGTTTAACTTGGCACAAGAATGTTCTGAAGCAGAACTTGCAAGGCATGGCGTCTTGCACAGCGCGTCCCAGGAGCAACATATTAACAATTTATTAACTCGACCGCCGAACTTCACCGCAGTATTGAACTGGTATTAACTTGAATGTCTGCCGAGCCACAGCTCTGCACGGAAATGGTTATTTATTTGAGTATCAGCAACTTTGTGGTTGGAACTAATAAGTGTTGAGTCGCTGATACTCTCGTGTTGTGCTGCTCATTTGGTGTGGTTTAGTCAGGTTAAGGCAATTACTTTATATTATGTAGAGAATAGTTATGATACCTTTTTACTTCTCTCGTGTTTAAAAGAAAATATCACACATCACATATTTTTTTAAAGAGTAACAACAATGGAGTTTCTTGCTTATTTTCTCTATTCGAAACTACACTTTCAAACGAGCGCCTAGCTTCACTGACAGACAGACGGATGGACAATATAATTTTTGGCGTATCAAAAGTGACTAATTAAGGATTAATTAAAATAAGTGCTTTGACTTTTACTTTATCTTACGATTATCACTTACACATATAAAAGACTTCAACGACTTAAACTATACATTGTTTAGAAAATATTCTTAATTAACACAAACATGTCAATAATGATGAAATCAGTAACACCTTCAATTTTCTAAACAATCTAGTGTGTCTACTTTGCATAACACGATATCTCATATTTGATCTTATATGTACCTAGTGTTAAACTAAATAATTTAGAATTTGGAAGTAGAACGTGGACGATAATCCAAGTCTCATCCATACTGATCATTACACACACATGAATATCATCTACATTATACAGTATTACTGAACGTATCAATTTGATGGGCGTCTTCTATACGCTACACCGACAAGATGAGAGCAGAACATTTAATTAATGATCGACGCGAGCGCCCCCTGCGGGCTATAAGTTTGACAAGTCACTAATATGTCAAGCAGTAACTGCAGGCGTGTGGCTGACAATAGTTTCAGTTTAATAATGACGTCACCGATCGGGTTAGTCTATTAATGACCGTTATTAGGACGATCCACTTTATCACTTTGTAACTCCAAAGTTCGGCAACTTCAGATATCGTAATTACTTCGATGACCTTCACAGCCTTTGGGATACCTTGTTGTTATTAAAAGGGCTGCTATAGTGTGTTCTGAATTTAAATTGGCGGCCATTTTAATATTTATATCACGGGTCTTGTTGGAAAAATATTCACATAATTTTATACAGAAATAGCATTATAATTTTAGTGTTATTTTACTGTTATTTGTCCCGACCCGTGGGTTTCTAACTGCTCCTAAAGCGTGAGGGTTCGTTTCGAAACCCAGTGGGTGCCAATGTTTCTTTTCCAAGTTATACATACTTTTCATTCTTATTTATACTACAGTGATAAGCTGAACTTATAACGATATGTAATGCCACCTTGAGTAGGTGTAGTAATCTTCATTCCTTTTCCGTATGAGAAGAAACTTATTCCCAGCTGCGAGACATTTTATGGACCGATATCATTATTATTATTATGTCGTACATACAAATAGAAGCACAAAATGCTTACCTTCGCTTTGTAAGCCAAACCTATACTTACACTACATATTGAACCCAAACAGTTTCAGGCGTATCCCATGGGAACCATGAGTGGCCATATATGGTAGGTACACAAGGGATCTATAACACGCTATGATCCTCCCGGTAGTTTAATGGGACCTCCGGGCTGCTGTTGCAAAAAATCCAAATGCAAATAGGTAGCTTTGCTATTCAAGGAAGCAAAATTGTGGTGAACAATCTTAAAGCTACATTATATGGTGACGCGGTGGCCCGGAGGTTAAGACACCCGCTTCTCATGCATGAGGGTACAGGTTCAAACCTGCCAGCTGCCAGTACCACTGTGACTTGTCCGAGTTATATGTACTTTCTAAGATTATTTAGAAACCACCACATTTCTAATTATAAGTTTGAAAACCCCAACCCGCAATGAGCAAGCGTGGTGATTAATGCTCAAATGTTCTCCGTGCGAGAAGAGGCTTTGCTCAGCAGTGGGTACTTATAGGCTGATGACGAGTAATGGTGATGACACAGTGGTATGCGTTTGCCACCCAATGTAGGGTATTCCTCTCACGGGTGTCATAAGCACCGACTAGGGAGCGTCGCATGGATTCGTTCGTTCTCTAATAATTGAACCTTTAAACTGTGATTACCGACCCACCTGCCACGTGTGAATATTATGACAAGCCATCTCTTGTAAAAGAGTTGTAGTTCAGTAGTGGACTATCACAGACTGCTGATGACAACGATCTCAATCATCTTCATCATTTCGACCCGGAGCTACCAACTGCATATAACATTTAAGTTAAACATTTGAGTTAATAATATTGTTAGTTTCATGTACTAGTGGGTAAGCCTATTACCAATATAGAGTTAACGTTGAAACCTCGTATTACTACTGCAAACTTTGAAATTGGTAAATTCAAATATTAGTATTGAAGCCAAATGAACGAACTGAGGCGGTACAATTTGTAGTTCAAATTAAGGTTATTTTTTTACAATACAAATATAAATGTCATTTATTTTGTTATGTAATGTAAAATATTATATAATTTACATTACTGTGTAAGTTTTGTAGACTGTTATTCAGTGCCTGCCATTCATTTAGGCAAATTATTAATTAAATTAGTATCAGCGATGTACTGGTTTCTCGATATTAGATTACCTAATAATCCTACCCATGGATTGACATCACGGTTTGGTATGAACGTTTGCCGCTTTGACAAAATGCGATTAACAATCAATTTATTGTAAAAACAATTTATTATACTGTAACTCCTAAAATTAACATAATTTAAAATTATAAAAATAATTTCTCTCATAAAAAATAACATTTTATGCGGCCATTACGTCGTTATGAAACAAGACCGTTATCGAAAAAAGAATTAAAACGAGCAGAAAAATACGCATTTTATCTGTATTGCAAAAAATATAATCCATACTGTAGAATCAAACAACAGCAACGTTTTAACAATAGTAATTCATACATTGTGAACTACTCCCAAATTAAAAAGGTCAGGTGGGTAGAATAGTACAATGGCAGTTTTTGTATCTTATAATCGTGTATACAGCCTCGTTGGCCAACTAGTCGCAAGTGCGACTGCCGTGCAAGAGGGCCCGGGTTCGATTCCCGGGTTGGACAAAGTATTACCTACTGGGTTTTTACAAAATTATCAGTAGTAGCACGGAGTCTGGAATTGTGCCCGGTATATAGCAATAGGCTCACCCCCTATTACATGGGACTCATAACATAAATAGTGAAAAGTGGGTGTTTTGTACAGTGGCATTAAGTGCCGTAATGTGCACCTCTGCACGCTCTGATGTTATAATCGTGTATAAATCTCAGCATGTTTTAAACTAACCAACGTTGTAACTATAATATGTGTATTAGTTATCAAAAGAACATAACCGAATGACATCGACCATAATAATATAATGGACATAATTATTATGTTAATCGTCGTCATAAAATACTTTACGGCAACATAGTACTCATAACAAGCTACAAAATGTTAATAACTAGTTACAATTAATACCATATTACCTGTTTATTAACACCCCTTGTTTATTTTACAAAATAAACCGTTGGTAGTTGACAAAGTGAATTGTTAAAAAACCTTAATAAAATTCCGTAAACTTTGTAACTGTCTCGCTACTTCATTAAGTAGCAGTTAGCTATTTATTCACTACAAAAGACGAAGCAACTGCTGACTAAATAAGTTAGTTAACTTTAAATTAAGTTTCGCAATTAATTAGCCTCAGCGGTGAAAAATATGCTGACGGCGAAATAAACGGATGTTTATTAATTAAATACACGGGAACAAAGTGCTTTAAGTAAATTTACCTAATAGATAGTAGAATACGCTTCAATAAAGATCTATAGATACAGCAAATTAATGTAACAAGTTTATTAGTATTTACTTATTAAGTGAAATAATATTTGAAAACTTACCGACAGAATCCGTACATCGAAACAACACTGAAACTCCGAGTACAAACAACAGTGACCACTTCATCACAAAGTTCATTAACCAACTCATCTTCACAGATTATAAACCAACGGAAAAATAACTAATTCAAAAAACGTTCCAAATTCTGGAACGACGCATTTTTTAAAAAGTTTTCGTAATTCGAACGCGGGAGCGACGACGGTTACAACGTTCACTCGGGTTTTATTCGATGCGGCGATCTAGGGGCAACTGTTCTGTCGGGGCCGGTCGGACGGAGGCTGTGGGTACGGCAGCGCGCATGCGCGACCATTTCTTCACTTTTCAGAAAGCGGTGTTTCTAGTTTGAATTATACTGTATTTCCTTTTGACGTTACGCTCGATGCGCCTTTGACTTGGTGCATTCCTTCAAAGGCCTGTGGTTTCGAGGAATGGTAAAAAAGGTTTCAGTGTTCCACAGGGACGTGTCCTGGGTCCCCTTTACTTTTACCGAACAAGACAACAATCTGTCTTGTTTCGTAAATGTCTCGTATTGAAATATATTACAGAGTTGTGTCGTATTTTTAATCGACTTCATATTTACCTAAGCATGATAGTGATAGAAATCGTTGATAAACAACCAGACTAATCACCTGATGGTAAGCAATCGGCGTCGCCTTTGACAGTTTGAAAGTGTAGGACTTTACAAGTCCTACACTTACTTCTTAACAACTTACTTTCAAGTTGTTAATTAATTAATTAATCTGTTTACACCGACTTTGAGTCTTTACTTATGAAACAAAAGTATAGTTGAGTTTTTTTTTTTTGTTAATTTAATTGGTATAGTTAGTCACAAACAGTCTGCACCATTCTTACCGATATAACAATGTCTAATTGTCGCCTCTAAATAGTCGTAGGATACATCTGTACGTAAGATTAGGCGGGGAAGTTGTATGAACGTGTGACGTCACCGTGACATGTGTCTTCTGGCCGCGAGAGTGGCGGGAGATGAATGGAGAGATTAGGCACAATGGCGCCGATTCTAGTAGCCACTGACTCAACTAAATATAGACCATTTCTATTTAGGTACAGATTATTGTATTTATAGAGCTTAAAGTCTTTTTTTATGAATTTTTTAAAATCTGTCGTATTTGTAACCGTTTTTGAGACATGTTACATGACTTTACAAGTCAAAAGTATAGTTTGAGAGTTTAACTGTTGGATAAGGCCTAACTGGTTATTGAAATTTCGAGAATTTTGCTAACTGTTGGATAAACGCTAAATAACTGTTTGAAAAACTTAATATTGAAAAATCGACCGTAAATTGCTTATCTAAGTCTCGCAATTTCATTCAATTTACGGTACCTACTAGGACATTCACAGCATAAACACTAAAATCTTTCTCAAAAACCATATCATCCATTTGTGAGAACCTTATTTAAACGTCTATTAGTTTTTGAGTTTATCTTCAAAAGATGGACATTAAACACGTATTTCTTTTTAAAAGGCCGGCAACGCACCTGTGATTCCTCTGGTGTTGCGGGTGTCCATGCGCGGCGCTTATCGTTTACCATCAGGTCATCCGTCTGCTCACTTGTCTCCTATTCCATAAAAAAATAACACGACTCAGTTTTGTCTGAAATTTTCTAAGACATTATTTTTTGTTTACCGTTCTTAGTGTTAATAACTTCATCAAAGACTTCCAGTAATATTTTAAAGAGAAATTACTTGTGTCGCCGGCTGTCTGCTCTCGTGATCGCAGACTATTTCTCATAAAAATAAGAACAAGTAAAATCTCTGCGTAGATATTCTTAATTTCCGCTTAGTGACATTTTTGCTCTCAATATTGTACACTTTATACATTCTTATTTAAAGAGTTACATTAATCACATATTCTGAAAAGAATAAGAAAAAGAAAATATTTTACTAGATTTGATTGATCTGATATGAGAAAACGCATGTATATTGTAGATAGTACCTATCTTCTTGACAAATTAGCACTTTATGCGTCAATAGAGACTTTACCAATTATATGCTCAATCTCAACCAAGTGAAGTCTTTTTTTTGATGCCTTATTATAGCTTTTTTATTTATTATTACCTTTTTTTTAAGGTGTAAATATTTTAGTTCATAGTTATTTATATTTTAAGTTGTATATATTTTCATTTAGTTATAGTTAATATTAATTGTATATATAATAAGTAAAATTAATGAATAAGTCAGCTGATTAAATTGTCATTAATTCGCATAGTGAAGTCTTGAGTCTAATTGACTAGTGAGCATCCAAAGACAACTTTAACAATCGAGGTCCCCACTTAACTGGAGTTCCGTGCATTGAATACCTCAACAAACAGACAAACCTCTTGATCCAGCTCTCACCTTACTCACTACCTGAAGGTAATATCTGCATTTATACGACTAATAACTCCGACTACGTATATAGTGCTTTTTTATTTCCCCGATGAGTACATACTCAAATATATCCATTTGAACACGTTTCTCAGTAACTTGTGCGCGTAACATAAAATTATACTGTACTAACAATATAAAATGAATGTAATTCAAGACGAAGAAGAAATAAAAATACTAGCGATGTAGGTATTTCACTGGTAAAAGCTACGTACAATTGGTCCCCCTCGCGAACCCTCGCATTACCATAAATCACAATAACAGTAGGTATATTGAATCCGTCTGAACTAGGATCGCGGCGTTTGCTGAACATTAGCTGCTTCGCGGCGAAACAAACATCATCAATCAATGGCGTATTACACTACGCACTACGCATCTATGTGGGTTTTAAGTGAATCGCATTTTTAGTACCCAGACGTATTGTAGTCTAGACTAGTGGAATATATTAACCTGGATTATCGTAATGAATGAACGAGTCTGTTCTATTCTATAATACGCTCTATATCGGGTTTGTTGAACGTCAGTCGAACGTGAACGTCGACTGTTGCTAGACAAACACTATCAATCTACAGCGTATTGTATAGAAACTATTGCGTACTGCGGTACACTGTGGTAAGCCATGTATGGTTGATCGATTATGCTGTGTAAATATAAATAGATACCTTGAATAGGACATACAAGAAATATCGTTGACTACATTTCAACGACATTAGAAATATTTTCTTTACAATGTTATCGGGAAACTTGCGTCTACGTTTAGTCAGTAATTAAAACATTATGTAAATTTAACTTAAAAGATATAAGGAATGTGTACATTAAAATCTGTGACTGCATGGTTGGTGCGGTGGCTGAGCAACCCGCTGCCAACGCGTCGCGGGTTCGATTCCCGCATGGAATGGAATAAAGTTGTAAATTGTTTTACAATTCCGATGTAAAAACTATCCGATGCTGTTTACTGTAACATTAGCTGGTTCACGGTGTGTGCGCTATAAACATCATCAATCAACTGCGTATCACGGAGCTTGACTCCAAATAAAACGTATGTTGTTGTATTATCTGCAAACTGGTATTCTAGTGATCTGTCTAAATCACATTGTATATTTTTCATAAGTTACGTTAACTAGGAGTTTTGTTGATATAGCGTTTGTAGCTCGAATATAGTATTTTTATTAGTTTTTTTAAAAACAAAAGGCACAAGAAAGATAAGTCGTATTAAATATCGGTGAAAGATAATTGTTTCTTCACAAAATACTGTTACTGAAATCAAAATTGTTTAGATTCAATCCCAAATAAGTAGAAAAAAGGGAAAGAAGTACCCCATTATAAAAATCAACGTCAATCTGTCGGCATCCGAGGCGGGAGGGACGTCCCATCATTACGGTATTTATTGTAATTGAATCAAAAGTCCGCGGCCTTCCGGATTTTTGTGTGCAGGCCCTTCCGCGCCCCCGGCTGTCATCAACCCGGTCCATTGTCATACGATCTTTTGTTTCATTTATAATCTTCAACGACATAATATTATTACTAATAAATTAATAAAGTGGGTATTAATTTTACTTTTTCATATACTAGGCAATGTATAAAAGTCTCAATACTGTCAATATTGTATCTCTCTGCACCACCCTAAGGTTGACTGTTAGAGAATGCCACTAGGCATTAAGTCCGCCGTTGTATATCTACAAAAAGTGTAAATAAATAAAAAATAAAAAAAAAAATTATATTTAATATAAAATGTCATTATTAAAGTATGATTTTAAACGATATTCATTCACTAGCCAGGACATACTTTTCAAGTTGGAAGTTCACATCAGTTTTAGTAATTCAGCAAAATAAGCGAAGCACATTAAATTGTTTACTCGGTACTCGGTACTACAATAACTTTGTAACTACGTACGTAGGTATTTTTCTGACAAGAGCCTGTGTTTACGGACCTAACCCTCGTATTAGCATAGATCAGACATACAAAATCATAATTCGTCTCAGCAGTGGAGCCGCTCCCTCGTACATTAGTATGCGGGTCGGCGCTCCCAGCTATTGTGGTTTGTTTATAGACAAATTTCCACCTGAGAATATACTCGAACAAGATGAAACGGACTGATTTCTGTTTGCTTTACATCCCGTCCTTTGTGTTATAGCCATTGTTCGAGACCCAATCAATCGTTCATTTTATTTATTCGTCAGGATTAACTGAGATTATGGTGCGGGCATTTGGTGAAATGTACAATTTAGTTCACGACTGCGACGTAAATTGCAGTCGGATTCATTTGATGTGTGCGCGCCGGAATGAATTTGTGTTAGCCATGGCAAGTTTGGTTTGTTTGGTGAGGCCATCAGTTTTGCGTGCGTTTGTGGCAATATCCAACTGTACACTCGCCCGATATCATGACTGACACATTTCTTTTTAGTAAATGTATGATATAAAACAAATTCCTTCTGAATGACAGATAATATCTTATTCTATTTCACTAAGATGTTTGAAGGATAAAAGTATTGACGGATAAACTACAGGAAAAGATACGTCGACTACTTAGAATCAAGTGATCGGTTCATCAGATTTGAAGAATTCCTAAAGGCTTAGTAAATCACATACACGTGTAACGAGCATTTTTATCGAAATACATGTACATACATACATACATACATACAGCAAAGGAGTGTGTGTTAAGTGTTCAATTCTTGTCGAAGGCAGTAATGCTCTCCTGAGAATTGAATCATTGACGCTCGACTGCGCAAATTAACTACACAAGTACGGAACGTGGGGCTCTACAAACGAGTCCACGTTCAACATCTGAACTCATTTGATCACGTCCTGTTTGTTTTGTTACTGTTAAGACTAATAGAAGAT